TCCTCATCTCGGTGACCAACATTCTTAATCCAGCGCTATCAGGTCAGAGAATGAGAATGAATAACGAAAAAAAGACCACCCTATTTTGACTATACTTGGACCCGACGCTCGCAACACTGCTCTTCAATTCAGATCGGAGCGGAAACTAAACTTTGTCGGGGGGAGGGGAAGGGAACATAGCGCGGGGGGACAACAAAGAATATGTACCGGTACTCGATCACTCGTCCAGGATGAGACGGCGACTGAAAAAACATGACGAGGTATTCGCGGCACCTCCTGTCACCCGCGTAACGAAACCCCATAAAAAATATCACTTTCAATCTGGATTTTTTTCCTGTCTATGCGTTGCGAAAAACCAATTGTAATTACGACACAAATAGTTAAGTATAATGGCATAATACGCGTTGTTGTACAGCAAGAATGTCTACTGGCAATTTCAGCATAACACACGACATGTTCAAGAGGGCGTTAGTTCTCTAGTGGATCTCTATTTTCCGGTGACCTCCGGCCCGGCTCCCAAGAGGCGTGTCCCACAGTATGGCAGCATGTAGACACACATGTCACCGCTGCCAAAAAGTGGGCTCGTTTCAAAAGACAACGACGCAGTCATCATCATCGTCGGACACTGCCCCGAAGATACAAAAGACAGAACGCTAGGGCTCAGCAGCAGCAGCAGCAGCAGCAGGGTGGGGCTCCCAGAGGCTGGTCACACAAGTCCCTGGCGCTGGTTGATGTGGACGGGGCACGCTCCTTTACGCAAGGGCCCGAGCCCGGCGGAGCCCGGCCAGGCCGGAAGGCGGGGGGACGCGACATAAGACGTTCGGCTCCGTCGCGTGACGGGAAACGAGTGAACCCCTTTAGTGCCTATGCAGGAGTGTGAGGGGGGCAAAACGCAAAGGTCTTTTAAGCTGCCGACGAAGGAAAATGACCCACAGAAATTACAAACAACTTTATCTTAGGGGGCTTAGAGTTTGCATGTGTCAAGTAAAAGCTATCACATACATTCCCCCCTCAAAAAGAACTATTCCGAAAGCTTTAAAATTTTTGAGACGTTTGAGAAGAACGAACTTAACGACATAGCAGTCGAAACAACACGACACAGAATGTAAACATTTTAATGGCAAAGCTTCACAGCATTTCTCTTTGCTGCCCCAAGCAACGTTTGCAGTGTTGTCATCGTCAGCCACTCACTACTACTTGAGGGCCTCTTACCGACACGACGATCGGCACCGGAAGCGCCACGGCAGGTTGGTATCAGCCCAGAGGCGCGAGTCCCGGCCCCGGCCCGGCTCCCCCCACATTGGCACCTCTGCTGATCTGTTTCGGGCGCCGGCGCCGCTGGGCCTGCCTCGGCCGCGAGCATTGCGTCACGGTTCACAGCGCGCCCCACGACGACGAGGCACCTGCGGCTGCGCGCCACCAAACAGGTCCGAACGATCCTCGCCCCATCGTCTTTCCCTCACAGGAGCACAGCAGGGTGGGATGCAATAATAAGGGCTTCATGCGATAGAGTGGCGCGCGCAGATGTTATTAGGGGATCGCGCTGCAAGGTGTCAAAAGTCAGGCGTGATGCCCCGTGCGCAAATATAAAGGCGATCGAAATATTTGATACGACTAATAATTTAGCTCGCCAATCAACACGCCCCCCTATCTTTCCCATTAACTATTCGACACAATACATACAAACAAAATCTAGCAATTCTCAAATTAATAACAAACATGTTAGAGCTTCAAGCTTTAGTATAAATCATGGAACTTTTTTTTTCTGTGGTTCGCTGGCACGCACATTCTCTCTGTATGTGAGTGGATGTGTGTGAGAGAGACGACCCCCCCCCCCTCCTCCCCCTTTCCATTTCGACATCGGCTCGCCCCGCGCATGTGCGGACCAACACCCAGGCCGATTAATACACGCGTCGTGTGTGTTGCATCAAAACCTGCTGTGTCGCCTGCTCGCGCCGACGGGCCTGGACCAATCAGAGCGCCCCAATTATAGCGCACTCTCGAAAATCCTCAACCAAACGACGACGCGGCGGCGTGGAAACGGGCCAAGGCTGGCGAGGAAAACGACACCTCGCCTCCAAAATCAACCAGCAACGCGTGCCACTAGAAGGTTCCTTCCCTACAAACAAAACACTGACAAATATTTGTAAAAAAGAAAAAAAAGTAGGCTCATTTGATCCACTTTGAATTAATGCAGTAAAAAATTCTTGAGTAAATTAAAGGGAAAACACACAAAAAAAATGCGGTGTGAGGATGGATGTGAAATCAGGTGTAATATGTCTGATTCCATGACCGGCCAGGCTCGTCTCGTCCTGGCTCGGCTCGTCTCGGCTCGGCCCCTGCTGCAGGCCCAGCCAACTGCCTGTTAAATCTCGAACGCTTATTTCGAGTGACGTCACACGCGTACCCGATTGCTGCCAACCTAAATCGATCGCCAGAGGGAAATACGGAGGGAAATATACGTCGGGTACTTTGTTTGCTTGCCAATATGCCGCTGGTATTTGAATGTGTTATGTGTTATCCGATGCCATGATAAATACGGAACAGACATCGGAGACGATCGGGGAAAATATTGCTGGACAAATTTTTACGTTTGTTCACAAGGAAAATTTAATACATCAGAAAATTATAATTCACACATTTTCAAAATCAAACATCTTCATAAAATGCTGAACTATCACCATGTTCTTCAATGAAGTAGGGGGCCCAGTAGGTGCTGTAAACAGACAAAACAGGAGTCATAAGAATTTGGTCGTTACAGTAGAGATCAAACATTCAGTAATCATACTCTTATATACATACAGAAACATGGTCTTCTTGGTTAATTGGGGGGTCGGAGCAGGCAGAAGTAACCCGGCAGGAGTGCAGGAGGGCTGCAGTAGCTTCTGACCGCAAGTGTCTAGGCTAAAGCAACATAAAAAATAAGATCAATTTCAAGTAAATGTATTACATTGGAATTGGTGAAACAAAATCCTCAGGTGATGTAACATGCTATCCAAAGAAGTTCTTGTAACACAAAGGCATGTTCAGTAGCACAAAGCCATACTTATAAATTTGAAGAAGTTAGCTGTATGATGTAAACTTACCTGATCTGTTAAAGAAATACGACACCAAACTAAACAACATGCATTCCTCTTCTTATTCTGCTCCTCATCTAGAGGTAGAACTGCATTAACAAAATGTTCGCCTGGAATTAAAATCATAATAAATTAGAGAAAGAATAGTCTGACTCTACATAGCTTTCTTATATTTTCCTTGTTACTTCATTGTATGTGAACAAATAAATTCAGCAAGCAGACATACAAACCTTGACAGAGTGTGAGAAGATTTGCAGGATTTGTGGACACTTGTAGAGTAGTAGCTGAGTTGAAGGCTGCTCAGCTCAGAGAAGTTCATATTGGCTAATGTCCCAACTGCATCAGCACCCTCTATATGATGCTATTCCTTGCCACTCTACAATACTTCATTATTGTTCCCTCAAGAAATATTTATGTCTACGTTTTGGAAACAAAGTTTCTGACTGTTATTCCATACAGTTTTGAAAGAAGCCTACAGCTATAACAAGTTATAATCAATTTAAAACAAACACAATGGGAACATTACCGTTCAATGAAAACATTCCCAATGGGATACAAAGGTTTAATAAAACAGGAATACTGGCACAATTGAAGTAAAGAAGCATAAGTGTTGGGTGATTTGTCTAAAGAAGGTTAAGAACCGTCCCAAGATATTTTCGTAGGAATTGAAAATGGACAATCCTTTTTTCTGATAACATACATAATGTCAACTTTCTAGCGCTCATGGGTAGTCTTTCGGCAGAGTGACAGGTCAAATTATTTCAGAAAATCGACGGAAATCAAGTCCCACTGCAAAGCTGCTTAGCAGAACACTTTTCAAAACATATGGCCTCCATTGGTGTGCAGTGTTGTCTTTCCCCTCCTGCTAGCACGGAAATTTGTGTTTTTCTATTAAATGTCATACTCCCTATTAAGACCCCAGGATTTATTTTACGAACAAGTTTTACATTTTAAGTGGTTTAAAATTAAAAATCTTCCTTTCAAGTGTTCATAAGTGGTCCAACAGATGTGTATTTTGGTTCAAAGTTTTCATGTGTAATGTTGGCGGCAATCGGGTACGCGAGCTTTAGCCGACCGGAAACAGTAGACCCAGTTGCCTGGGCCTGCCCTGCTGAACTTTGAGAGTCGCCTTCTGCTGCTGACTGGTCGCGCGATGACCCCCTCGAAAGGAGGAGCGGCAAGAAAATGTCGAGAGCCGTCGGGACGTGGCGGGACGTGGCGGGACGGGGTGGGGTGGGGTGGGGTGGGGTGAGGTGAGGTAAGGTGAGGCGGGACGAGGCGTTGGCGGGGTTCAACTCAACCACAGCTCAGCTCGATACTCGCCGCGCCCGTCACAGATTTGTCCTTCCTCTGCATCAGAAACTGTTGTCCCCACAAACAGGTGGGCGAGAAAAAAGTTCCATGGATAAACGGACCATGAAAGTTGATGTACTAAAATTACAAGGGTTCGCCGTCTGTTAATTATCTTGAGGAGTAAGTGGGGTCAGGTCTTCTTGCGTTCGTCTGTCATCTGGCGTTCGCTTATGGCTTGTAAGCAATTGCCTATATGTATTGGCGGCTTATGGATCGTCCAGACGAATCGTTCATTTTTCTCGGATTTATTGGGAAAATTACGGGAGGTTAGCGCCTGCGAGACTCGGGGTAGGCCACCCCGCAGTACTCGCATGCATTGCAAGCAAGATGTTGCCTACCTGCCAGGCGCCCTAAGAGCATGCAGAGGCTGAACTTGAGAGGTTCAGCACGGAGAATGACGGACGTGTACTTCCTGGATAATTTCCTTCGCGGCCGAAAGAGTGGTAGGAGTAGGGCGGCCCGGCAATGCTTAGAGCCACAATTATAGTTTTGTATTGCTTTCAGTCTCTTTCGGGAGAATGTAGATACGAGGGGGAACAAGTGTCGCTGTCGCTGGCCTATGCCGCCGGGGACCGCGCAGCGATAGGCTGGCGGCACCTGCCCGGCCGGCCGGCACCTTGGGGCATTCCAGTCGCGCCCCTGCGGCGCGGTGCAGTGCAGCGGCAGTGCAGCGCCACGGCTGCATCGGGAATGCGTTTGGCGCGCCGCTCCACGCCGTGCAGCGCAGCGGTGCACTACTGGCACTACTTGGCGGGGCACGGAGGGGCACTTCTGCACCTCCTCGCGGGCTCCAGACGAGCTGCGCGATGATATTCAAGAGCCACGTAAAGCTCGCAATCGATAACAATTAGAGCGAGTGCGAAAATACCGCCGATAAAATTGGAAGAATAAAATCTGCCGTTGTGGTAAACGTGCCTTTTACAGCTACGGCTGTAAAAATATGTATTATTGCATTTTTTTACACGATAAAAAAATACTCGTCGGCTTACAGGAAATTTTCTATGATGTACGTCGTAACATAACAATTTAAAATTGTAAATTTACAAGCACTTCGTATGGACTCGGAGTTGGTCAACAAGCACAAGTAAGAGTATGGCAAAATGTAAATTTACGCGGGTATTTTTCACTGTGCGGCAGTGCAGTTATTACGTCGTCGGGCTCCTCTAGCAGCGCGGGCCGATCAAGCCCGCCCGGGGTGAAAGCCACTCGCGCAGAAGGAGATCACAACGAGAGCGCGCGAGGAGATTTAGTCGCCCGTCATTTTGACAGAGCGACATCTGTAACGGCTGGCCGCTAATCGCTCGGCAGGCGCGCGCCTCGAAGTGCAACACGCTGCACACAGCACGACGCGTGCACTGGGAGAAGAAAAGTGTGTGACTGTCGCACACTTGCAGGTGTGTGAATACATACCCATTCGTGCACTTAATGGAGTAAAACGTATGAACTTTCCATTGAAAATTCACTCACTTGTGCCGCGATGCGTATATAAGTATGACGTTCACACTCCTACAAGAAGTGAAGTCGTGCGCGTGGGCGACATTCACACACTTGGCTTTCCGTTGTGTTGGTGACGCGAGGCGCGTGCAAGAGCGGCGCCTCACAAGCGGAAACCAAAAACTCGGGGAGCGTCCGGCGCGCGCGCGCGCGTTTTTGAACCCAGAAACGACTTTCATATTCAGATTCGTTTTCATAATGTGGCGCTCTCCGCGGCTGCGCGCGGCGGTTGTTGCGCAACGGGGCTGCACTCATTGTGAGGGCCGCGGGGGCCGCATCGGAGAAAGGTTGTCCACATTCCGACGAGCAATTTTTGCCCGGGCCGCCGCTGCCGCCGTGTGGCGGCGCGACGTACGCGGAACCTCTCTTCCTCGACCTCCCGCCCGGCGCGAGGAAATATTACGGAACGTTTGCGCACGCGGCACGCACGCCGCACGCACGCGGACGGGTAATCACTTCCTAACGTGTGGAGGCTGAGGTCTCCGCGGGAGCCGCCGGCGAACCGAGTCTCATTTTCGTTCATGCGTGTCGCGGGCTTGTGTGAACGTCAAGGTCACTATTAAACTAAGATTTAAAATAAAAAGAGAGAGAGGAAAGATAGAGAGCGCGAATACACACCTAGGACAGAGCACGATGCTCTAGTGAGCAGATTATTCGGTTTTGATCTCGGTTTTGATAGCTGCGTCTGCCGAAGGGCCGATGCCCTACTCCAACTGGTAGATCCCGACGATATAATCACCCACAGCGTTGCCTTTTTTACTCCTTTTTTGTAGTGTCTTTCATCCGCTTGAGAAGCTCGAAAATTTTCGCCGCTCCACCTGCGTTGAAGTTGATTGGGGTGGTGGACGGATAAAAAAATCAGCCGACTGACCCACATCGTCGCTTCGTAGTAAGAGTTTCACCAAAAACTCATTGTCCCTTTTTCCCATGACAGAGGGGACTCGCATGAGTTCCTTCCAAAGGGGGGAGCGGGGGGAGGGAAAGGGGTACTCATCCAGGCGGCTAAGCACCGAGACGAGACAGGAGGTTGCGATGGACTCTCTCCACGGGTGGTTAATCCCAAAAGTTACAGTAATTATGAACGTCTTATTGTCATTGATGAAGACAGGGGGATTGTCCGGCGATCGACGATGAGACGTCCGCGCTATCGGCGAGAAAATATGAAATGTTGTTGGGCAGAATTTTCCAGAAAAGGAGAAGCCGGTATAAAGGCGAGCAGCGGCGGGGGCAATGCAGGGCTGGGCAGGACAGAGGAATCCCAAGGGCTGATCGGAGATGGCCGCCGTGCTGCAGCCTTGGGACGTATTTATAGAAGCACATAACCTTACCGGGGCACACAGAGCTCTCTGCCCCCCCCCCTCCCTCCGTCTTCTTCACGACCATCTTCGCAGACTCGCCGACTCGCCCTTCTCTCTCACGTGATTTTTATTATTAATATTTACTACACTTAAAAATAATATTGGAATCTTGTATTTTAAAGTTGTTCGCTAATGAAGGTAACTACTATCGTGTCCAAAGCAGTGCACTGATGTTACGTGTCACCCAACATTGGCCGACGCCTTGCCGAAGAGAACGAGCGAGAGAGAGAGAGAAGCGGTTGCAACACTCATTGCTCGCAGATCTGATAGCGAAGGGTCTCTTTATCCAATGGCGACGGTTCACTGTGGTTTCGTCCCGTCCTATCTCTCTCACTCTCTCGCACCCAGAGAGGGCTCTGCCCGGCCCGGTCCTCGCCTGCAGCGCCTTACCCAATCCCATCCGCGAGGATCAGCCACACGTTTGTCACGCTTTCGGTGCGCATGTGAAGAAGGAAGCGCTCGATACACTGTTCTTGTCGTGTCGCTGCCGCCGACTATCATTGCTTTTGCCAACAGGTTCTTGAAACCGTCCATCCATTTGTCGCCCCCTTTGGCATTCAGTCAGAAACGTTTTGTAAATTGGAAGTGAGACTTGTTGATGGCTACCAATAAGAAAAAAAAATCTAACAGTATTTTTGGTGAAATAACTTCATTATGTTAAAAATTGTTATAACTCTATAAAGAGTTTTTGACGAACATTCATTCACAGCCCCAACCCCCCATTTAGAAATACCGGGGAATTCCCAGAGAACTTCGTTATCTAGGTTCTAAAATGCCAAAGGAATTTGAAAAATACGAATCACGACGACTAATTCTTCGCGAAAACCCAGACATTACATTCAACGGTAAATTAGAGGTCTATATCTTCGCAGAGTCCGCTGAAAGTGCGTAGCGTACGGCGCTTCCCCCACGATCGAGCGCGCTGCTCACCGCGTGCTGACCACCGCCACTTTGTTCCATAAGGCATCCCTCCCACCCACACTCTTCACTATTTTTCAATTTTCTCGTAGGAATATAAGAAAACAAAGTAGAGAATAAAAGGTTATGAGGCACACTCACCCGGTGGGGGTAGGCGAGATGCCACGAGACGTTGAAGGCGGATCCAGTTTTCAGTGTCGTCTTTATCGATCCTGCAACAGAGAGCACACAAACGCCATGTTTACAGATGGGACGACAATAAGAGCTGCGCGATGGGAGAGCACAAGGTGAGCGCGGCGGGTGCGCGGCTAGCTGCTCTCCTCAGTGCCAAGTCCACGTCCTCTCTCCAATCACCGCGACCACCATAAGGGGCAGAAGACCGCCGGCCGCCGGCCCAAGGCGAGAGCCCGGGAGAGCCCGGGGGAAGAGCGGGATGTGGGATGTGATTGATTCCAGGGGAAGATGGATATTAATAAAACCCTTCGACCCCCCCGGTCCCGGTAGGGCAAGATCCCATCACGGTCCCGCCGCCGTTTCCGGTTCGGGAAATCACATTATCCCTGTCATACCTAAAACGGAAAACGGGCGAAAAGACTACATCAAATTCAGCGGCACAACCTGTAGTGAAGTTGAATCCACATTTACGTATGGGAAAAGGAATAAAGTGGAACGGTCGCAACATATATCCCACCTCTCTTTAACCCGTCCACATTCAGGGTGGGTGATCTGCGGATGTCTGAATGGGTTGCATACTTGCACGGGGGCCATAAAGCTTCTTGGCACGCCCACCCGCACGCCTGAGTCCAATACAGTATAAATATAGCCATGTTGTAAATATAAAAACATGTTGTACACCCAAAGAAGGTTCCTAGTAGAACATTTTCCCTGTATACTTGACTTTCCTGAGGCAACTAAGCTTGGGAATCGAGTACACGAAAAAATGTGCTAATATCAATAAGAACACACGTTTTTCTTTTTTC